TTTTTTTTATGTAAACATAGCACAGGGAACAAGGTTGATAAGCACCAAAGTGTTGAGGAGCAAACCACACTTTGGAATCAACCATCCTACATAGGAACAGATTCACTGTAAAATGTTGCATCCCATTTCTAATCTGGAGAACACTAAAGAAATAATCCAATCTGACACTGCTTTAACTTTCCTGGCTCAGTGCTAGGGAGTCCTGGAAATTATAGTTTATTGTGGCACCAGAGATCTCTGACGGAGAAGGCTAAATGTCTCACAGAACTACAACTCCCAGAATTCCCTAGCATTGAGTCAGGGCAGTTAAAGAAGTCTCCAACTGGATTATTTCTGCTGTGTGTTTTGGTGATGTGAACCTGTCTTGAAATATAACAGGGGTAGGCAACCTTTCCCCTTTAAGGGCTGAGGGACCTCAGCTCCCAGAAGCCTCAGCCATGTTGGCCAATAGTCCCATATTGGCCAATAGCTCCTGGGATTCTGGGAGCTGAAGTCCCTCGGCCCTTAAAGGGAAAGGTTGCCTACCCCTGAAATATACCATGACAATTGGTATTGAAAATCTCTGTGATATATAATTGAAAAAATCATGGGAGGCTATAGCATTGTTCCAATGTTTTTCTTTTAATCATTTGCTGAAACATTTGCACTATTTTGAAAGTCATTACTATGAGAAGGTTTTTTTTTTAATGATGAAGTGAGAAGTTTATTTTTTCCTGTCCATCCTATCAGAACTTCCTGCCATCTCTTCCTATTTGTGGATACAGTTAATGAGATCCCCTGAGATGTATAAAGAATGGCATTGTAGTGTTGTATTTGTTTCATCAGCAAAAAGCGTAATGAAAGACTGTCAGTAGTTGTCTCGAAGTCCAGATGTGGTGCCACTTATCTACTACTATTTGACTTTTAATGATCACATATTATATCTGGGCTGTCTGTTGAGGACCTGCTTGTTACTAACAAATGAATACAAAACAATTTCAAATGTAAGCTAGATGTCATTGGGGAACTGCATGAAACTCAGAGGGAAAATACAGTTCCTAAGTAGACATTTTGTTCAGGTTTTGGCAAACTACCTGAGTCACATGGGTGAAGGAACTATGGGAAACTGGAGCACGCACATAGGTCAGAGCTACCTCTTTCCTTCACTGTTTGCTGGGTGAGAGTACACTTAAGATAGTACAGTACTTTATTACTGGAGTATTTTTAAGGCCCCAGGATTCCGATATTCCCAGCTAATAATTATAGGAGAAAAATGAAGAGGGAATAAACAAATGAAAGTATCCTGCTAACATTAGCCATTCTATTGGGGATTTTAAGCCTATTTTTAGATTATTTTTCACATTTTTTGTATTTTGTAAGGCTCCCCTGGGTATTAAGTGGGCCTTCCAGAATTTCTTCCCATTGAATATGCTGCCTAGGACCATGGTAGTTGTAGTCCAGTACTTTCTTCGGGGTGGAACAGTTCCTATTTATGATGGAAGGAATTTGGAACATCATATATGATGTGGTCTCTTCCAACTCTATGATTCTATTCAATGATCCTAAAACATTCATTCATTCAGGGACTAACACAGGTACAGGTACTGAAAATAAATAATGACCCCAAGTATAGATATCGGCATTATTTTCTCCATGTTTTTTTGTATGTACATACAAAAAACAGTGAGTCAAC